AATAAATTTTTAAAATCAAAACAAAACAAAAATGGCAGCATCTATTCAAGTTTGAAGATCTGTAGCTAGGCGTTTATAATCAACTTCTTGAGGGCTGAATTTGTAGATTTAAAATATAATCCCAAAGAACCAGCAGATGCATAATGGTTGCATTGCTGGACTCTACGTAGTCTACTGCAGTTGGGGTTCTGACCCACGGCTTGAAGCTCACATCAAGTACATATGTGTGCATGCCCAGAATCCTGAGAGGAGACTGGAGGAGAAAAGATGGCAGTGTGGCCATCACCCATTGGTGGGGGATTTCTCACTTTCTCTCTGGTGAGCACATGTGCCCTATCACAAAAATCTCTCAAAAAAATATAATCCCAATATTTTAAAAAATATAATTATTTTATTTAACTATTTATTTATTTATTTATTTATTTATTTATTTATTTATTTATTTATTTATTTTAAAAGTTGACCAGAGAGGGACAGAGCGAGAGCGAGAGCAAGAGAGAGAGAGAGAAAGTGAGTGAGAAAGCAAGCTGCCAGATCTGGGACTTGAACTGTGGTCAGCTATGTGGAATCCAGCACCCTTAACCACCATGCTACCTGCCGGCTCAATCCCAATAATTTTTAGGGAATCTGAGGGAGAGACTTCAAGTCAAGTATTTAAGGGACACAGAGGGATTATTGTCTCATCCCTAGATGCTTCTCTCATATATCCTATAATTGTTTTTATCTCGGCCATTATTACAAAATATGTCCCGACCCTCAAGGAGATTTAGGCAATAATCTGTTATCAGTACCACATAGTAGTGCCTTTAAGTGCTTTGGATCTTCTTTTGAAATACAGATACCTCTTGCTGCTGCTGGGTGAACTTTATTCTCATTCATACCTTACTACAAATTAAATTACAATTATAAACAAGATCATCCCTACATCTGGGAAAGTGTAGTGGGAATCGGGAACTTTGATAAAAGGATAGGATTATAAAATGAATCCATATTATGCAGTAATCACTAGTCATATTTGAAGAAACGTTATAAGTCATCTAATATAGTCTAAATCCTTATTAAGTGAAAAGACGGAGACCTAAGAGATTAAGCAGATGCTTAAATGATTTAATGGCAGAACTGATATCCCAGAACCCAGTCTCTGCAGGGCTTCCTCCCTTTTGGTGTTTATTTTAATGTGCTCTCGTACTCTAGGTAGCTCCAAGAATCATACAGATGTGCCAGTGTAAGGATAATCAGATCAGAGGAGGGCATAGTCAATGTATGTTTATCCAGTGAACAGCATCTGACACATGATAGGTGTTCATTAAATGTTTGCAAAGCATTAAGTGCTTTCTCAGGGCAAGGTGTTATGCTTGGTGCCATGAAAGTATGGGATAATAGATACTGTGGTCAGGAAAGACTTGTATGAGAAAGGAAAATTTGTAGTAGGCCTCAAAGAAATTTTAAATACATAAAGTTAAATGTTAGTTTTATTCCATTAAAAACCATTTCTCTTTGGTATATCTACCCCCAAATTGGAGTTTTATATTTGTTCTTGTTTGTGACTGAGTTTTTCCTTAACCTTCACAAGAAAATCATGCTAGGTGAACTCCATGCTCTCTATATCTCCAGGTATTTATGAATTTACTTTCTTTTTTAAATTTGGATTTTTGCCATAAAGCTTGTGCATTTGCCAAAGAGAGACAGAGTCTAAGAGAGAGGGAAGTGAGAAATCACCCCTCCTTCCCACAGTGGATGGTCATGCTGTAGTCCCTTCTCCGTTTTTTCCAAATCTTGAGCATGTATGCACATGCGCCCTGTGTGTTTTTCAAGCTACCAAGTCTGGGATTCCAAACCGCAGAATTGGCCATATGGGATCCAGCACTCCTACCACCACACCACTTGCTGGACCTGTGGATTTACTTTTTTTTTTTCTTTCTTTCTTTTTCTTTTTTTTTTGGAGAGGTTTTTGCTATAGGGCGTGTGTGCTCTCAAGACAGACAGAGAGAGACAGAGAGACAGAAAGCGAGAAATCACCCCCCAGGGGGGATGATCACACCACAATTCCCTCTCCTCCATTCTCCTCTCAGGATCTTGGGCACGCACGCACACGCGCCCGGCGTCAGTTTTAAGCCACCTGGTCTGGGATGCGAACCGCAGTCGACTACGTGGGAGTCCAGCGACATAACCATTACACTAACGGCTGGTTCCCTGGATTTACTTTTTTTAAAAAAATTATTATTTATTTAACTTTATTTATTCATTGATTTAATTTTAATTTGACCAGAGAGAGGCACAGAGAGAGAGAGAGAGAGAGAGAGAGGGAAAGGGAGAGGAAGCTGCCAGGGGGACTCGAACCGCGTTCGGCCATGTGGGAGTGTCCAGCACCTTAATCACCATGCCACCTGCTGGTCCCCCCCTGGATTTACTTTTAAAGCTGATCTGGAGTTCTTACTGCCCAGTATGGATTAGGTTGATTCAACTATTATGGTTTAATTAGTAAATATGATTATTATACAGACATTGTATTGAGACAGAAATAAATAAGAATAGTATAGAGCCTAATGGGGGCTCAAAGGTGTAAGTAAATGCTTGACTGTGTGGTAAGTATAGCAGTGCAAGCATGTGGGGAGCAGAGGTAGCCAGGAGTACAGGAGATTTAGTGCTGTCTGGGTGAGAGCAGGAAAGGCTTTCTGGAAAAGATGACAGCCAGGTTTTAAGCTATCTAGGAGCTTTCCAAATGCAAGGAAGGGAGAGCCATTCCAAGTAGAGAAAACATCCAGACCTGAAATAACTTAGAGTGTGAAGTCTATTTTGAGAATAGTATTGTTGGACTATGAAATGGGATGCTTGGGTAGGGGGTTGTAAGACACGGTAGGCATGAATCTAGAGTGGGTCTAACATCTTTGGTATTACATCTGGCCTGACAATCGTTAGGAGTTGTAGGTAGTCAGACTTAATGCAAACCCTGACTAGGTAGAGTGTCATCCCCTCCCCCCTGCCCTCCCTGCACACACCTTGGAAGGTGCCTTGGAAGAAGAACCAAGATGAAAGATCATTGAAGGGGCCAGTAAGTGGTGGCATGGTGGTTAGGGCACTGGACTCCCACATGGCTGACTGCAGTTTGAGTCCTGTACCTGGTGCCTTGCTTTCTCACTTTCCCTCTGTCTTTCTGAATATCTCTGGTGAGCGCAGGTGCCCTGTAGCAAATTAAAATAAGAATAAATAAAATTAAATAAATCATTCTTTTTTTTAAAAAAAAAAAGAAAGATAATTGAAGCTGGAGATTAGTGAACTTTTGCAGAAAGCTTTGAACTTAAAAGATAATTAACAAGAAGGTTTTAGAAATGCAGAAATAGCAAATTATTGGGAATGTGATGCCTGATCTCATAGTAGGATCACCTGGCAATTTGAAGCAATTGTGCAACAGGGAAGGATTTTGACCAGAGAGAGACACAGAGAGAGAGAGAGAGAGAGAGAGAGAGAGAGAGAGAGGGAAAGGGAGAGGAAGCTGCCAGGGGGACTCGAACCGCGTTCGGCCATGTGGGAGTGTCCAGCACCTTAATCACCATGCCACCTGCTGGTCCCCCCCTGGATTTACTTTTAAAGCTGATCTGGAGTTCTTACTGCCCAGTATGGATTAGGTTGATTCAACTATTATGGTTTAATTAGTAAATATGATTATTATACAGACATTGTATTGAGACAGAAATAAATAAGAATAGTATAGAGCCTAATGGGGGCTCAAAGGTGTAAGTAAATGCTTGACTGTGTGGTAAGTATAGCAGTGCAAGCATGTGGGGAGCAGAGGTAGCCAGGAGTACAGGAGATTTAGTGCTGTCTGGGTGAGAGCAGGAAAGGCTTTCTGGAAAAGATGACAGCCAGGTTTTAAGCTATCTAGGAGCTTTCCAAATGCAAGGAAGGGAGAGCCATTCCAAGTAGAGAAAACATCCAGACCTGAAATAACTTAGAGTGTGAAGTCTATTTTGAGAATAGTATTGTTGGACTATGAAATGGGATGCTTGGGTAGGGGGTTGTAAGACACGGTAGGCATGAATCTAGAGTGGGTCTAACATCTTTGGTATTACATCTGGCCTGACAATCGTTAGGAGTTGTAGGTAGTCAGACTTAATGCAAACCCTGACTAGGTAGAGTGTCATCCCCTCCCCCCTGCCCTCCCTGCACACACCTTGGAAGGTGCCTTGGAAGAAGAACCAAGATGAAAGATCATTGAAGGGGCCAGTAAGTGGTGGCATGGTGGTTAGGGCACTGGACTCCCACATGGCTGACTGCAGTTTGAGTCCTGTACCTGGTGCCTTGCTTTCTCACTTTCCCTCTGTCTTTCTGAATATCTCTGGTGAGCGCAGGTGCCCTGTAGCAAATTAAAATAAGAATAAATAAAATTAAATAAATCATTCTTTTTTTTAAAAAAAAAAAGAAAGATAATTGAAGCTGGAGATTAGTGAACTTTTGCAGAAAGCTTTGAACTTAAAAGATAATTAACAAGAAGGTTTTAGAAATGCAGAAATAGCAAATTATTGGGAATGTGATGCCTGATCTCATAGTAGGATCACCTGGCAATTTGAAGCAATTGTGCAACAGGGAAGGGCATACAGAAGCAGTAGCACCATCCCTGACAATGTTATTTCTGTCACCTGATTCTCAGGAGATCAGTTGGCCATAAACCAACGGCTGGAACTCTGTGTGCAGGATGACTCTGTGGGGCCGCATCATCCAGAACCTAATGCTGGCACCAAAAGCACCTCATGTGCTTTTGAACCAAAGGACTTTACTGATCCTGTCTCTTGTCATGACTTCATCCACATTATTTGTCCCCGACAGTAGGCAGTAAGGTGATTTGCGTGCCTGAGTGCATGAAAGAGTTAACCACTCTTAGAGTCTTTCATATTTATCTCCTTCCAAATTGCTACAGATTTAGTGCTGTCCCAGATTTTGTACTTTTCCTTAGATTCCTGTGTTCTCTAATTTCTAACAGGTTTGTTTTTAATATTTCACAGGCTTTCTTGATCATGGATGGTGAAGATATACCAGATTTTTCAAGTTTAAAGGAGGAAACTGCTTACTGGAAGGAACTTTCTTTGAAGTATAAACAAAGGTACTGTTGAAAAGCATACTAAACAACAGAGAAGGGCATTCGAAATATACCCTGTCTAGCTTGTGCATTTTTTTTTTTTTAAACATAAAGCTAAATTAAGGGACCAGCAGATGGTGTAATGGTTACATCACTGGACTTACACATAGTTGACTGCAGTTCAAGTCCTGGACCTGGTGGCTTAAAACTCATCCCAGGTGCATATGTGCCCAAAATCCCAAGAGGAAAATGGAGGAGAGGGGATTGCAGGATGGCCTTCCCTCATGGGGAGTGACTTTCTGTCTCTCTGTCTTTCTCTGGTGAGCGCATGCACTCTATAGCAAAAATCTCTCAAAAAATCATAAAGCTAAATTTAGAGCTTCAGATTTAGGATTAAGATTTTAGAAACAGTTACAACATTCTTTGTACTAAAATAGTATAAAAATACCACAAATCTTTATATTGTTTAAATTTTTTTTTCCTTATCCAAGTTCATGGATATCATGAATTACACCAGATGCCCATAAATCTTTTTTTTTTTTTTAAGAGAGATTTTTGCTACAGGGCGTGCGTGCTCACTGGAGAGACAGAGTCAGAGACAGAAAGCGAGAAATCAATCCCCAGGGAGGATGGCCACGCCACAATCCCTTCTTCATTCTCCTCTCAGGATCTTGGGCATGCATGCACACACACCTGGAGTGAGTTTCAAGCTACCAGGTCCAGTACATGCACTGTAGTTGGCCATGCAGGAGACTAGCAATGTAACCATTACGCCATCTGCTGGTCCTTATATTCTTCAAGTTGTTAGTAGAAACATTTAGCATCGTTTACAATTTGTTCTGATAGTTTTCCTCATTTTATACTTGTTACTAGTCCAGGCCATCTTTGACTTGCAGTGTGCATACTGCCTCTTCTGTACCATTTTGGTTACTTAGTGAATCCAATAAGCTGTCTAGATAAAGCTCTATATAACGGACTTTAATTCACTTCAAGCAAGTGTTATCTCTGTTGGCAAAGTATTGAAGAATAGGGTAGAGCTTCAGGGGTATAGAGTATTTTATCGAATTTATGGGACCAGCAGTTGGCGTAATGGCTATATCACTGGACTCCCATGTAGTCGACCACAGTTCAAGTCCCGGACCTGGCGGCTTAAAACTCATGCCGGATGTGTTTGCTTACATGCCCAAGATCCTGAGAGGAGAAGATAAGGGACTGAGGTGTGGCCATACCCTCTGGGGGGATGATTTCTCGCTTTATGTCTCTCTCTTTCTGGTGAGTGCATGCGCCCTATAGCAAAAACCTCTCAAAAAAAAAAAAAAAGAAAAAAAAGAACAAATTTAAGTTACTTCACTTAGGAAACCTTTTGGATGATAACCAAAAGGTTTTCATAAATATTGTAATGACCGATTTCAGTTGTTTTGGGGCTTGTAACTCATTTCATTGAACCTTGACTATCTATGTAGTAAAAGATACAAAACAGATTGTTTTTGTTGTTTCATGTATTTTATGACAGCATTGACATTCAGGCAGAAACTAATCAATTGATATATTATCAGCTTCAAGGCAATCCTCATGGTTTCCACTGTAATTCATCTTTCCCTCTTTGTTTCCGATTAGCTTCCAGGAAGCTCGGGATGAGCTAGTTGAATTCCAGGAAGGAAGCAGAGAATTAGAAGCAGAGTTGGAGGCACAGTTAGTACAGGCTGAACAAAGAAACAGAGACTTGCAAGCTGATAACCAAAGACTGAAATATGAAGTGGAGGCATTAAAGGTAATTGCAGCACCAGAAGCTGGTGTCTAATGTGCTGGGTTTTACTAAAATGAGAATATTTCAGAAAATTGCTTAAGAACAGCAGGGACCAAATATGTGAAAGAATCCCCCCCAAACCAGAAAACCTTACTGTGATTTTCTTTCTGGATAAACTGTTGTCTTTCTTGGAACCAAGGGAAAGGTATAGGAGTTCACTAAGAAACTTCATAACCATCACCTTTCTAGCTGTAAGTTCCTAACTATATTTTGAAAAGCTCCCTGATGATTTGTTTTGATAGTTTACCTCATTCTGCAGTACTTTAAAATTGTGGAGGTATGGTGGTTAAGGTGCCGGACTCCCTTGAGGCCGATTGTAGTTCGAGTCCTAGACCGGAGGCTAGGAAAAAAAATTGTATTTATATGAAATATGAAATACATACTTATGTTTATATGAGACATGTTTTAGTTTAGTTTGGGTTAAAAATTTCTCTTCTTGAAAGGAGTGTTTAGGAATAAAAAGAATAACCCTTTACTCTGCTCTTTATCACCTGCCTTTGCCAAAAGCTTGTAAGAGGTCATGTCTGGGGAGTGGGTAGGTTTTAGGGGGGAGTGGAAGGACAGGTTAGGTGTAGGACATTTGAAGCTCATAGACAGTCTGTCTGCTTTTCTGTGCTGATCCTGGGCTGCATTTAGCTGGAGAACCCAAAGCCCCCCTATACACCCCAAGTTTGAGGATTTTGAGACAAGTGTGTCATTATTTTACTTTTCAGAGGGGTTATTATTAGATTTCTTTCTGAAAGAATGGTTGATTATCTAAATTTTATGAGTGAAGGTACTTAGAATGAATGTGTCATTTAGTTATTTTTTAAATATTATAAAAACGAGAATAAGAGGGTTTCATCATCAACCCAGAACATGAGTGGATCTTTGTTTTTTTTCCCCCTTTAATCCTTTATTAAAGAGGACTATGTATTAATGACACACCCTTTGCTCTCGATACCTGTGCCTTCAGGAGAAACTAGAACATCAATATGCACAGAGCTACAAGCAAGTCTCGGTATTAGAAGATGATTTAAGTCAGACTCGGGCCATTAAGGAACAGTTACACAAGTATGTGAGAGAGCTGGAGCAGGCCAATGATGACCTGGAGCGAGCCAAAAGGTAAATGGGGCTGGCTAGTGGTATGGCGGTTAAGGAGGCTGGATTTCCACTTGGCCGACTATAGGTTTGCATCCTGACCCAAGTGAAGGAAAGAAACACCAGGGATGTGTGTGTGTGTGTGTGTGTGTGTGTGTGTGTGTGTGTGCAAGTGTGCATGTATGTGCACCCAAAATCTAGAGGGGAGAAAGGGAGGAGTAGAGACTGCAGAGTGATTGTCCCCCAGGGGGGATGCTTTCTCACTTTTCCTCTCTCTCTCTCTGGTGAGTACATGTGCCTTCTAGCAACATTAAGAAAAAATAAAAGTAAATGGATGATGTGCATTTTTTTTTTTTTTTTGAGAGGTTTTCGCCAGAAGGCGCGTGTGCTCGCCAGAAAGGCGGAGACAGAGAGATAGAAAGCGAGAAATCACCCCCCAGGGGGGATGGCCACGCCGTAATCCCTTCTCTATTCTCCTCTTGGGATCTTGGGCACGCACGCACATGCACCCGGCGTGAGTTTAAGCCGCTGGGTCCAGGACTTGAACCGTGGTCGACTACGTGGGAGTCCAGCAATGTAGCCATTATGCTAACTGCTGGTCCCTGGATGATGTGCATTTTTGATAAAAATACCAAAGTTGTCAATGAATGATTAAAATTTTTATCATTGGGCTCAAACTATCACCTTGATCTTAGTCCTAGAATGTTTCCTTTTGGTATTTCGTGTTACCCGTAACTTACTGGATGGAAAGGAACCAAAAATCTCAATCTCCCCAGATAATGCCCTTCCACTCTGTTCTCTTTCAATTTTTTTTTCCTTTTTTCTTTCATGTACAGTTGTTGGTCCAATTGATTTTTCTTTAAAACATGTCTCATGCATCTCTCCATCTTCCCTCTGCTGAATTTTTCTGTGGGTCTTCATACCTGATACCTGGATTCTGCAGTTACCTGCATTCTGCAGTTATCGCCTCGCCGATCTGTCTTAACATTCTTATTCTGTTTTATTCTCTTTTGTTTTAATACTGACTGATAAATTTTTTCACAGTATTGCTTTCATTACAGTCTTCTTGAACAACCTATAATGGCTTGCTATTTCTGTTGCCAGACCTTCATGTACCCATAATTAGTCATTTCTTAACCATTCCAAACTTTATTACTTTACAATTACCGCCTGGTGTTTCTTTTTATAATATTTATTAAGTGACTCTTCAGTGACTGACACACTAGGGTTGAGGATTCAGAGGAATTGCTCTGGGGTGACAGATACTGACGCTCACTGTGATGAATACTCTGGTAAAAAGGATGTGTAAGGTGCTGCAGGCCGTAGAGAAGGGAGCAGCCAGAGCACCGGGGGGATTGGGGAAATGTTTGCAGAGAGTGAAACTAAGTGTGCAAGGAGTAATCCAGTGAATCAGGCGAAGAGACAGATGTGAAGGCAGAGGCGTAGGAATGTGCTTGAGGTACTAGTTTTTTTTTTTGGACAGGTTTTTGCTATAGGGTGCGTGCGCTCGCCAGAAAGACAGAGACAAACAGAAAGCAAGAAATCACCCCCCAGGGGGGATGGCCATGCTGCAATCCCTTCTCTTCCATTCTCCTCTCGGGATCTTGGGCACGCATGTACACACACCGGCATGAGTTTAAACCACTAGGTCGGGGACTCGAACCGTGGTCAACTACATGGGAGTTTAGCAACATAGCCATTATGCCGACTGCTAGTCCCAAGGTACTAGTATTTCACTTTGTGTATACAGTGTGGCTCAATGAGATGAGAGTGGAAGGTGATTGGGGCAGGTTGTGTACAGAGGGAAAGTGAAAAAGCAAGCCACTGGGTTCAGTATTCCAACTGTGGTCAGCCATGTGGGAGTGTCCAGTGCACTAACCACCACACCACCTGCTGCTCCCCGCCCCCTTTTGTTTTTGGTTGTGTAGAATTTTGTGGGGTATAATTGAAAGTCACTCTATAGCCAATGGGGAGCTCTTGAAGATTTTTTAAACAAAAGAGTAACACTGGGTTTTGATTTGGGAAGATGATACTGTGAAATTGAAAGTAGAAAGGTGATATGAAGGCCATTTAGGAGTAATCCAGATGATGAATGGGGAATTAAGGGAGAATTTCAAAGAAGGCTGGGGCAAAAGGGTGAAGAGAAAATGAAGTCAAGACGTTTCAGCAGTTGATGGGAATTGATCAAATTGGACGTGGCATTAAGAGTTCTAACTTGAGGCTAGGGAATTTTATTTCTGTAGCAGATAGCACATAGTTGGAGGGGTACAGAGGAAGCGCATGTTACTGTTTGTTGAATGAATAATGAGAAATGCAGGAAGAAAGGGATAGATTGGCAGGAAGTAAACAGAATGGGATCTGGGAATTAATCTTGTGAACAAAGTCTTAAACCATTAAAAAGTTTTTCTCCTGAAAAAAATGTATAAACTTGATTGTGTTGTATTTAAAATCCAGTGGGAATTTAAATAGTATAACAAATGGTCTTAAGGAATTTAGAAGAGAATTTAAGAGAACATTTTGAATGGCCCAAATGATAGTAGAGACACTAAATACTACTAGTAGTCAGGGGAGGGCGAGGTCATTCTCTTTAAAGTGGTTCAGGCCAGCTAAGTCAGAAAAGGGCATAAAATAAACTGAGATTACCTTTTGTATTCACTGTCTCCCCATGTTATTTATTTAATTCATAAACTCTAATTTTTTTTTTTTTAGGGCAACAATAGTTTCACTGGAAGACTTTGAACAAAGGCTAAATCAGGCCATTGAACGAAATGCATTTTTAGAAAGTGAACTTGATGAAAAGGAATCTTTGTTGGTCTCTGTACAGAGGTTAAAGGATGAAGCAAGAGGTAAAATTTATAGTTTAAAGACTATTTATCCATTCCCTTAACTGTCCTTAAGTCGAGAGTAAACTTAAAGATCAACCTTTTTTCTTTTGGTAGAGGTTTTTGCTATAGGGCCTGTGCGCTCGCCAGAAAGATAGAGGGAGACAGAGAGATAGAAAGCGAGAAATCACCCCCCAGGGGGGTTGGTCATGCTGCAATCCCCTCTCCTCCATTCTTCTCTCAGATCTTGGGCACGTGTCCCGCTCCATTCTTCTCTCGGGATCTTGGGCACGTGTCCCAGCGTAAGTTTAAGTCACTAGGTCTGGGACTCAAACTGCGGTCGACTATATGGGAGTCCAGCGACATAGCCATTACGCTAACTGCTGGTCCTAGATCAATTTTTTTTAAGAGAGATATTTTGATATAGGGTGCGTGCACCCGCCAGAGAGACAGAGACAGAGAGAGAGACAGAAAGCGAGAAATCACCCCCCAGAGGGGATGGCCTTGTCACAGTCCCTTCTCCAGTTTCCTCTTGGGGTTTTGGGCACACATGCACACATGCTCAGTGTGAGTCAAACCGTGATCAGCTCTATGGGAGTTCAGCGACATAACCATTATGCCATCTGCTGGTCCCAAGACAACTGTTTTTAACCACTGTGCCAAGTGCTTTTAATCTCTTTTATTTGATACCTGTATCATCAATGCTAAGTGGTAGGTATTATTGTCCCCATTTTATAGATGACAAAACACAGGCATAGAAAGCTTGAATTATGTCCAGGATCATAGAACGTGTCAGCTGGGATTTAAACCCTGATCTCTTTTCCAAGGCCTTAACCACTGCCACCAGGCATATACTGTATGGCTTATTTATTTATTTATTTATTTTTTACTTTCTTTCTTTTTTATAAATTCTCTCTTTTTTTTTTTAAGAGGTTTTTGCTATAGGGCATGTGCGCTTGCCAGACAGAGACAGACAGAGAGACAGAAAGTGAGAAATCATCCCCCAGGGAAGATGACCATGCTGCAATCCCTTCTCCGTTCTCCTTGGGCACACACGCACACGCGCCTGGCGTGAGTTTTAAGCCACTGGGTCTGGGATGCGAACCGCGGTTGACTACATGGGAGTCTAGCAGCATAGCCATTACGCTAACTGCTGGTCCCTATTTATTTATTTTTTAATTGCTTCTACTTTTAAATAATTTCATGTTATGCACATAACACTATGTGTGTGTACATATTGCTATTTATATATTATAACTAATACATATATATATATATACATATATATATATATATTCCTTTAAAATTTTCCCTCCAGGTTCTTCATGGACCCAGTGGCTTAAAACTCATGCCAGGTGCGTGTGTGTGTGTGTGTGTGTGTGATAGAATGCCAAATATCATAAAGAAAAAAAATAGATATTGCTGCCAATCTCCTTATCTGGGAAGAAATCACTCACAGTTTGACAGATTTCTTTTCAGTCTTATATGTTAAAAATAAAAATCAATGTTTTTTGCGATCAGCATTTAGCGTAATGGCTATGTCGCTGGACTCCCACGTAGCTGACCACGGTTCGAGTCCCGGACCCGGTGGCTTAAAACTCACGCCGGGTGTGTGTGCCCAAGATCCCAAGAGGAGAATGGAGAAGGGATTGCAATGTGGCCATACCTCCTGGGGGGTGATTTCTCACTTTCTGTCTCTCTCTCTGTCTGGCAAGCGCACACACCCTATAGCAAAAACCTCACCCCCCAAAAAAAATGTTTTTTTCCTTTACACAACTGGGACCATATTCTACACACAGACCATACTATATAGACACATTTATTTATTTTTTCATTCCTTATGCTGAAAATATATTCCATGCCACTAAAAGATCTTTTACAGTAGGTTTTTTAAAGACATTATATCCTATTATATATTTTTGTTTTATTTAATGAAGTTCTTTATTATTGATGGTTAACTTTTTGCTGTAAGTGGTGTCAGATACTCATATATAATATTTAGAAATACTTTTGATTTCGTTAGAAGAGATTCTTCTTTCTTTTAAGAGAGATTCTTTTGCTATAGGTTGCATGTGCTTGCCAGAGAGAGACAGAGAGACTGAAAGTGAGAAATCCACCTCACGGGGGATGGCCATGCTGTGACACCTTCTCCTTCATTCTCCTCTTGGGATTTTGGGCATGTACACACATATGCCCAGAGTGAGTTTCAAGCTGCCAGGTCCCGGACTCAAACTGGTTGACTACGTGGGGGTCCATTGACATAAACATGCCATCTGCTGGTCCCTAGAAGAGATTCTTAGGGGCCAGCAGATGGCATGTTAGTTAAGGGTACTGGACTCCCACACAGCTGTGAGTCCCGGGCCTAGAGGCTTGCTTTCTCACTTTCCTTCCCTCTCTCTCTTTCTTTCTCTCTCTAGAAATATTAAAATAATAATAATAAAATAAATTTAAATAAAATAATTCTGAAAAAAGAGAGATTCTTAAAAGTGTAGAGGGAGTGAATGTTTCTAATGGTTATGGTGCATACTGCCCCATTCCCTTTTACAAAGTTGGGACCCTTTGACTCTCTCTGGCAGTGACTGAGTGTTCTTCTCATACTCTGTATCAGCGTTGCTAATAAAAATATATTTAAAATTATTTTAAAAACCAATCCACTTGAAAGTTGAAAATTGCTCATTTCTTCTTTCTGTTCTTTAAGAATTATTTATTATCATTATTTTTCAGTTTTGAACAGAGAGAGGGAGAGAGAGAGAGAGAGAGAGCGCGCGAGTGAGCAAGCAAGCCACCAGGTCCAGGACTTGAACTGTGGTCAGACATGTGGGAGTCCAGTGCCTTTTAACCTCCATGCCACCTGCCAACCCCAATTGCTCTCATTTCTAAAAAATGTGTAGTTCTTTGATTGCTACTAGTAACTTTGTTTTTTTTTTTTAAGTTTACTTATTATTTTCTGAGACTCATGACAGACAAGCAGGTGCTTTGACAGGGTTTTCATGCTGTGATTCTTTCTTCCCTACTTCTGCATCTGGTTAGGATTGTAGGTGTGCCTGGCATGTTGAGGTAAACAGAACACTAACCTGGAGCCTATACATGGTCTCCAGCGCCGGGCAGCGCCACCCTATTGCTTCTGCCACTGCCACTGGACCCACTTGTGAAATTTTTTGTACAGTGTTTATTGGTTCTTTATTTATGTATTTTTGGTTTTTACTATAGGGCTTGTAGGCTCACTGGAGAGAGACAGAGACAGGGAAAGTGAGAAATTATCCCCCACCCCACTCCCCTAGGGAAAATGGCCACCCTGCAATTTCTTCTCCTCCACTCTCCTCTTAGGATTTTGGGTATACATGCACATGTGCCCAGAGAATTTTTCAAGCCTCCAGGTCTGGGACTTGAACTGTGGAAGTCCAGTACTTTTAACTACCACACCACCTGCTGACCCCAACTGTTTTACAATTTTTTTTTTCAGTGCCTTTCTCCCCTCCCCTGCCAAGGGATGGTGTATTCCTCTGAAGAGCTTCTCATAATTTATATAATGTGTAAATATTAGTTTTATATATTTTTAACTTATTCATAATTGTGGTAAGAAATATATAACATTAAATACACTATCTTAACCATTTTTTGAGTGTACAGTTCAGTAATGTTAAGAACAGTCACACTGGGAACCAGCAGTTAGCGTAATGACTATGTCACTGGACTCCCACGTAGTTGACCGCGGTTCGCGTCCCGGACCCAGTGGCTTAAAACTCACACCGGGCGCGTGTGCATGCGTGCCCAAGATCCTGAGAGGAGAATGGAGAAGGGATTGCGGCGTGACCATCCCCTCTGGGGGGTGATTTCTCGCTTTCCGTCTCTATGTCTCTCTCTGTCTGTCTGGCGAGCGCACGCGCCCTATAGCGAAAAAAAAAACTCTCAAAAAAAAAAAGAACAGTCACACTGTTTATAACAGATCTCTAGGGCTTTTTCATTGGCAAAACTGAAACTATACTTTATTGAAAAGGAGCTGCATTTTCCCTTCCCCCCACCTCTGGAACCACAGTTCTACTTTCTGTTCCTGTGAATTCTCCTTTAGATACCTCATGTGAGTGGACTCATATAGTGTTCATTTATTTTGTGACTAAGTTATTTCAGGTGGTGTAATGTCCTCAGGGTTCATCCATGTTGAAGCATAGGACAGGATTTCCTCCTCCTCCTTTTTTTTTAAGGCTGAATGTATCTGTTCTCTTTATTCATTCATCCATGGATGGTCATTTGGGTCACTTCCATCTTTGAGCTATTGTGAATAATGTTGCTATGGGTGTTCAAACATTTCTTTGGGATCCTGTTTAGAATTCTTTTGGGGGATCAGCAGTTGGTGTAATGGCTATGTCACTGGACTCTCGTGTAGTCGACTGAGGTTTGAATCCCAGACCCAGTGGCTTAAAACTCATGCTGGGCACGTGTGCGTGTGTGCCCAAGATCCTGAGAGGAGAATGGAGGAGAAGGGATTGCAGCATGGCCATACCCCCAGGGGGTGATTTCTCGCTTTCTGTCTCTCTGTCTCTCTCTGTCTGTCTGGCGAGGGCACATGCCCTATAGCAAAAACCTCTCTCCCTGCCAAAAAAAAAAAAAAAGAATTCTTTTGGATATACATACACAGAAGAGGGATAATTTGTATCCTTTTTTTATGGAGACAAATATTCTGTAGGTTAGTTGCATAACTAGAAAATAAAACATTAAGTTTGGGTTAAAAATTCGTGTGTGTGTGTGTGTGTGAGTGTGTGTGAGAGTGTGTTTTTGGAGAGGTTTTTGCTGTAGGGCACTTGTGCTTGCCAGAGAGACAGAGAGACAGAAAGTGAGAAATCACCCCCCAGGGGGGAACCACAATCCCTTCTCCTCCATTCTCCTCTTGGGATCTTGGGCACGCACGCACACGCGCCCCGTGTGAGTTTTAAGCCACCGGGTCCGGGACACGAACCGCGGTCGACTACGTGGGAGTCCAGCGATATAGCCATTATACTGACTGCTGGTCCCACCAAGAATTTGGTATTTTTAAGCATGACAAAATTTAAGCTGTTTTGAGTACTTTTCTAAGACAAAATATTTGATATTAATAATTAATAAAAATTCATCCATTTAAAATGATAAAATATACTTCATTGATTTTACATTAATCCCCAAACTACATCATCTCAAATAAAAGCAAATGAGTTGGTAAGGAATATTTATTTTTGTGTCATTTAAGCCTCCGTCATTTCTACTTTGTACTCTCATATTTTCTTTTTTTAAGAGTTATTTTTTATAAAAGAATTATTTTTTTAATTAACTTTTTTTATTTGTATATGTATTTATTTTAATTTGACCAGAGAGGGACAGAGTGAGAGAGAGAGAAAGGGAAAGTGAGAAAGCAAGCCACCAGGTCCGGGACTCGAACTGTGGTCAGCCATGTGGGAATCCAGTGCCCTTATCCACCATGCCACCTGCCGGCCCCATTTTTAAAATTTTAATTTTTATTATTATTTTTTTTGGAGAGGTTTTTGCTATAGGGCACATGTGCACGCCTGAAAGACAGCTTGCTCCTGGACTCTCGTATTTCTTTTTGTGTGGGACATAGGTAACTATTAGGTATAATATTTTTTTAAGAGTTATTTATTTATTTATTTTGGAGAGGTTTTTTGCTATAGGGCGTGTGTGCTCACTAGACAGAGAGAGACAGAGAGACAGAAAGCGAGAAATCACCCCCCGGGGGGATGGTCATGTGCAATCCCTTCTCCTCCATTCTCCTCTTGGGATCTTGGGCATGTATGCACACACGCCTGGCGTGAGTTTTAAGCCACTGGGTCCGGGATGCGAACCACGGTCGACTACATGGGAGTCCAGCAACATAGCCATTACACTAACTGCTGGTCCCAAAGATTTATTTATTTTTAATTTTTAACTTATCGTTATTCTTCAATTAGGTGTAATATTTTTAAATTCCAGAAGATCACTGAGACAGTAGAATTGCCATTTTTAGTACCCTGGAAATGAATGTTATAAAATAGGAAACTCGGTTTTGTGAAATAATAATCGAGGAAGAATGTCATTATGACATTTTAGATAATAAACTTGCTTGATGTATTTGCTTTCTCTCATGAGTATTATTGCTTTTGTTTGCAATATTTTATAGATTTAAGGCAAGAACTAGCAGTTCGAGAAAGACAACAGGAAGTAACCAGAAAGTCAGCTCCTAGTTCTCCAACTCTAGACTGTGAAAAGATGGATTCTGCCGTCCAAGCATCACTGTCTTTGCCAGCTACTCCTGTTGGCAAAGGAACAGAAAATAGTTTTCCTTCACCGAAAGGTAAGTAGTGTCTTTTCTTCTTGAGACTGTGTTAGATTATCAACTAAGGAATTGTAGCTTGGCCATCCTCCCTGGGGGGTGATTTCTCACTTTCTGTCTCTCTGTTTCCCTCTGTCTTTCTGGCGAGTGCACACACCCTATAGCAAAAATCTATTAAAAAAATTTAAAATTCAATTTCTCAGTCATATTAGCCGTACTTCAAGTGTTCAGTAACCCTTGCATAGATAAACCAACCTGTCTTCATCTTGTTAGGAAGTGAATGGGATGCATGTGGAAATGCTCTTTCCTGAGAGTTGGAAAGTGTTACTCATCATGGCGGTGTCTCCCCCGTTGCTGCACAGTGAGCAAGCAATGTATAGATGATGGCAGTCACCAGAAGCTCTCCCTGTCAGGTTTTCAAAACAGCTGCTTGTGTATTTGAAGACTTCACAATTACTAACATTTAAGAATTAATGAGGTTTTGCTTTTATGTTACTGATTATCGTATGTGGCACATTCTGAAAATTCTTTAGTTGAGCACTCATCAGAACAGCTAAAAGTCTCAATGGGGGTGACACCCAAAGGTGGTGTGCATTCTTGTATAGCCCTTTAGTTTTCGTTCAGGGACCTGGGGAGTCAACAGCCCCGCCTGCTTTGTCACAGAGTTGAAGGTGAACCCCAAGGCAGTAGTGTTCGTCCCTGTAGGTACATTTTTAGACTTGAATTGCTAGCATGCACTTTCACTGCACTCAAAGCTGTATGTGCTGGATTCTGCAGCTTCATGACTAGAAAGTCAACTCAGAAGTGATAAGCAGGTGGGTAGAGAAATCAGTGACAGGAGCTCATCTCTGAGAAGTAGGCTATCTTTAATTGCACTTTATTTATACACTGCGTATTTCCAAAAAGCATTTAAAGCAACATACCATAAAAGTACAAATTTAGTTATACCTAAAATGCAAAAGTGGAGAGTAGGGAAAAAATGAGATCTAGAAATCCCTGCCAAGCAAAGTACAGCAGTGTATTTAGAGTACATCAAACACCTATTACATGCCCTGTGTTATGCTAGGTGCTGGGAGGCTGGTAGTGAAGAAGACAAGCCTTGCCTCCAATGAGATTGTATTCTAGAAGAGGACGATTATAAACAACAAAAACTCTCAAAAGTATTCTAGTTGCTGGACCAGCCCAGGGCCTAGTGGTTAAGGGAGTTGGATCCCGTGTGACTGACTGTGCGGATCAAATCCTGGCCTCAGTGACTTGAAACACACCGATCATGTGTGCGTACGTGTGTTCCCCAAATCCCAAGAGGGAGGAGAAATGGAGGAAAAGGGTCTATAGTGTGACCACACCCTATTGGAGATGCTTTCTCACTCTTCCTTCTTCTCTGTCTCTGGCAAGCTCACTCACCCCCAGGCAGAGGTATTTTGGTTGCTGACTTGTACTCTGTAGAAATGTGGTGTACATGGGCCAGCAGGTGGTGTGGTGGTTAAGGGTCTGGACTCCCGCATGGCTGACCGCAGTTTGAGTTAACCCTATAGTGTGACCACACCCTATTGGAGATGCTTTCTCACTCTTCCTTCTTCTCTGTCTCTGGCAAGCTCACTCACCCCCAGGCAGAGGTATTTTGGTTGCTGACTTGTACTCTGTAGAAATGTGGTGTACATGGGCCAGCAGGTGGTGTGGTGGTTAAGGGTCTGGACTCCCACATGGCTGACCGCAGTTTGAGTTAACTCTACAATAGAGTAGCGTACCTCTGTAATTCACTAGTAATTCAGCGTAACTATAATAAGTATCAAGGGAATTCATTATTATATGATTATTATAGTGCCATTTCTGATGATATAAGTCTTCACTAAGTGGTATTAGGACAACTGGAAGTCCATTTGGAGGAAAAAAATGATCTACTTTGTATCAGAGAAAACTATAAATTCCAGTGAATTAAATGATCTAAATGTAAAATAAATATAAAAGTGTTACAAAATATGGGAAGCATTTCTATGATATTAAGACTGAGAAACCAAACGTCCCATCCCAAAACACAAAGTTTAGAAGATAAATGTTACACTGAGAAATACAACATATATAAAAGAAAGGGTGAATGAATAAGAGCCCTGTAAATTGACTGAAGAAAAAATAAGTAGAAAAAAATGTGCAAAGAATAACAAATGATTTCTAGAAGAGGGGATTTAAATGATAGTTATTATAGAAATAATAATTAAAGCAGCATGGCTATTAATCTGGCCAAAGAAAGGAAAAACTATGATAATATATCAAATATTATGCTGGGCACCATCATACAGATTGCTGATATTTGCACAACCTTTCTAGAGAGCGTTTTAGCAGTATCTCACGAAGGTGAAAAAAACACACATACTGTCTGACTTGCAGTTCTATTTTTAGGAATCTCTTCTTCAGAAATACTTGTTTAGATGCTTCAGGGTATGTGGCCTTGTAGCATTATTTGTAATGATGAAAACTTGGATATAATCTGAGTATTTGTCAATTAGGAAATGGTTAAACGTATTTATGGTATTTCCATTTTATACTTTGTGTGTGTGTGTGTGTGTGCCATATGGTGTATGTGCTTGCCAGAGAGACAGTGAGCGGGCAAGTGAGAAAGCACCCCACCCAGGGGGATGGCCATGCTGCAGCCCTTCTCCTCCATTTTCCTGGGATTTGGAGCATGTGCTTGTGTGATTTTCAAGCTCCAGCTCTGGGACTTGAAACCACAGTCAGCCATGTGGAAGTCCAGCACCTTAGCCACTACTCCACCTGCTGACCCCACTCCTCTACTTTTATCCATAGCTCAAAATAGCACATTAGTTTTGCAGTGAGTGTGTTCTACTTGGTATAACATCAGTAACAAAACCCCAAATGCAAAGGGAATACAAATGTAATCACTCGTCCTCTATTTTTCTCTAGCTATACCAAATGGTTTTGGTACCAGTCCACTAACTCCTTCTGCTAGGATATCAGCACTAAACATCGTGGGAGATCTCTTACGGAAAGTAGGGGTAAGCATTCAATTATGTATTACTAGGTGTTTCTACTGCCAAGGTATTGAATTATTTCTTACCTTGGCGTGAGGGGAGAAAAGGCTACCTTCCTGGGGTAAAGGGTGTACTGAAGCAGAGCAGCAAAAGCACCAGTGACCAGCAGGGCGCGGTCCAGACCGGCACCTCGGGATTTGGTTTGTGGCACCTCAGCAGCAGGGCCTGTGCACTTACCTGTGGCTGCTTCTGTTCGTCAGTGCTTTGGATTGTGTTCCTTCTAACAGTTGTATCTTTATTTCTTCTGTATTTTAAGACTTTTACTGTGTGTGCATTTATATATTTTAGCAATCCCTTCTCCTCCATTCTCCTCTCGGGATCTTGGGCATGCACGCACACGCGCCCGGCGTGAGATTTAAGCCACCGGGTCTGGGACACGAACTGCGGTCGACTATATGGGAGTCCAGCGACATAGCCATTATGCTAACTGCTGGTTCCCCTAACAGTTGTATCTTTATTTCTTCTGTATTTTAAGACTTTTACTGTGTGTGCATTTATATATTTTATATATTTAATTAATTAATGAATTAATTACCAGAAGGTTGCATGCACTTGCCAGAGAGAAAGAGAGAGAAAGAAAGTATCCCCCAGTGGTGTGTGATCACACCACAATCTCTTCTCTCTTTCTCCATCCTGTCAGGATTTGGGGCATGTACACACATGCACTTAGTATGTTTTTCAAGCTGCTGGGACTGAGATTAGAATTGCATTTAGTTATGTGGGGTCCTGTTCCCTTAACCACCAGGCTATGGGCTGACCATACATAATTTTTTTTTTTTAATGTTAAAAAGCAAAGATATGGGGCCAGTAGGTGGTGTGGAGGTTAAGGTGCTTGATCCCACATAACCAACTCCACGGTTCGAGTCCTGGACCTGGAAGCTTGAAAGTCACACCAGTTGTATGTGCACATGTACCCAAAATCTTGAGAGGAGAATAGAGGAGAAGGGATTGCAGCATGACCATCCCTCCGGTGGGGTGATTTCTCTCCCTCTGTCTCTCCAGCAAGTGCACATGCCCTATAGCAAAAACTAAAAAGACCCTGAAACCAAAGATAAGCAGCTGTTCTTTCCTTTTACCCTGTATATCTCTTTAGTTGTCAGCATTCTCTCTCCCTTCACAGCCAAGCTCCTTGAAAATCTGTCTGCACATACTGCTTGTGTTTTGCCTGCATACGTGCTCCCCAGACATTCTGGTCTGGCTGTGTTCCCTGCTCACGCTCGTAAAACTGCTCACTAGTGACCTCGGTGCTGTTACTTCTTACCGATGCTGTCCTGTCCTAATTTTACTTGAAACATTCAACACCAACATGCTTATTTTTATTTTTAAAGAAGTGTTTACTTTTATTTATTAGCGTTATTAGTTTTATATTTGACCAGAGAGAGGGGGAAAGTAAGAAAGCAAGCCTCCAGGTCTGGGACTCGAACTATGGTCAGCCTTGTGGGAGTTCAGTGCCTCAACCATCATGTCACCTTCTAGCCTCCTCCTTTTTTTTTTAAACATCTTTTTCTTTTGTTTCTCAGGTGCTTTCTCTTGGGTGTTCTCACCTTTTGTATATTTCTTAGTCATGATTTTGAGTCTTTTTAGTGTTGGCTTTACTCAGAGCTCAGTCCTTGATTTTTTTTTTTTTTCAATTGCCATAGAGAGAGGGGGAGAAAGCTCCTTCAGTGAGGTGTGGTCATGCTGCAATCTCTTTTTCATTCCTCCATCCCCTCGGGACCTGGGCATACGTACACATGCATCTGGGGTATTTTTCAGGCCAAGCAAGGCTGAAACTCAAACTGTGATCAGCCATGTAGGCTCTGGCTCCCCTAACCACCAGTCTATAGTGCTGGCTCTTGATTTTCTGACCTTATTCACAGCCACTGGGTATGGATATCTTGTAAATCTTAATCCCTAGACCGCACGTGGATGTTTCCCTGACCCCTCAGTCATAACTTGTGCCTGCTCTGTGAAACTTGGAGACTCAAGTATCTGAATGATGAATACAGGGAACTAAAGCCCATCAGTTTCTGCTGAGTAGATGTATATTTAACACATTAAATAATGAATAACACTTATTCAGAGCTTGCCTGGAAGCTCTCTCCCTCTTTCTCCTTTCTGTCATTATTTTACTAGCTCGTTGTACTCCTGTCATAGGAAAGGAGGAGAAGAGAAAGAAGTGTGTTTTCGTTACTGTTTCTTAACAGTTCTTATTGAAATTATGGGGGTGAGGGAGAGTCCAATGGATTTTCAAAGGGAAGTATGTGTTGTTATCTTTGCATTCCCAATCTGTTAGTGTTGTGAATTACAGGGACTGTTTTTTTGTCTTTTACAAATCACCCCCTCCCATGGATTATATTTTCTTTCTTTTTTGAGTGGGGAGGGCTGATTTGGTCAATGTATTTATAGGAAAAGGGGAGTGGTGAGATCTGTGTGTGGAGATGGATGGGAAACGTCTGTTCTCCTTACGTCATCTATTGGGGGAGCCTGGCACTTGCCAGCTGGTGTGGTGACAGGTGTAAAGGAAGGGTACCTGATTTAGAGGTAAATGCGGAAGGGCCAGTTTATTCATTATAGATGAAGGGCATCAGTTAAGCATTTCACAGTGTGCTCCCAGCAATAAATAGCTTTTAATTTCACTTGAGGTGTTATAAATGCTGTCATCCATTCTGATGTAGTAGCAAAATTTAAACTATAGAAAAATTTGGCTACGGTAAAGAAATTCTCAAGTGATATTTTTGAATTCTTCATAATGCTTCCTTCCAACACACACACACACCCCAATAGTCAGCGGCTTGGAAACAAACAAAACAATCAATGAGAGTCAGGGGGGGGGTGCTGGCAGATGGTGTGGTGGTTAAGGGCACTGGACTCCCACATGGCAGACCATGGTTCAAGTCCTGGACCTGGTGGCTTTCTGTCTCTCTGTCTCTGTCTGGCGAGCGCACGTGCCTTGTAGCAAAAATATCTCCAAAAAAAAAAAAAGAAAAAAAAAATAATTAAAAAAAAAAAAGTCAGGGGACTTGGAATATGTCTCTGTCTACCTCTGCCACTCCCCCCCACCCCCATAATTCTTTTTTTTTTTTTGGAGATATTTTTGCTACAAGGCACGTGCGCTCGCCAGACAGAGACAGAGAGACAGAAAGTGAGAAATCACCCCCCAGGGGATATGGCCACGCCGCAATCCCTTCTCCTCCATTCTCCTCTCGGGATCTTGGGCATGCACGCACACGCGCCTGGCGTGAGTTCAAGCCACTGGGTCCGGGACTTGAACCACGGTCGGCTATGTGGGAGTCCAACGACAAAGCCATTATGCCAGCTGCTGGCCCCCCACCCCCATAATTCTAAGGTGAGGATTGTATCTGTATCCTTCAGTGATACTGAGGAATAAATAAGATATTCTGAACTCATTGGAATGGGAGTCAATGTAAACATTCCCTCTTTTTGTTAGAAAAATGTTTGATTATGGCCTAACTAACCTCCATTATCAACTGAGAGAACAGGATTTGAGGATTGAAATAGAAATGGTTTGAATTGCAAATTTTCATGTGCAGCTACTGTTTTGACAACCAAATTGTTCCTTCTTCCTTTCGTAGGCTTTAGAATCCAAATTAGCAGCTTGCAGGAATTTTGCAAAGGACCAAGCATCACGAAAATCCTATATTTCAGGGAATGTTAATTGTGGGGTGATGAATAGCAACGGCACAAAGTTCTCTCGATCAGGGCATACGTCTTTCTTCGATAAAGGGTAAGTGGATATTTTTTATGATAATTTTTTGAGTAGTCAAGTTGCAGAGTACTAAGGGAGTGACTGAAGCCTTGACAACGTAAACTCAGTTTTTTTAAACCTACCTGAAGCCTGATATCATTTGGATCCTAAGGGACGTGAAATCTGTTGTTGTCTTCTAGTCCCTGTGGAGTCTGTTGCCCTGGGAACCCTGAGTCTAAAGCTTCTGTTTTGGGAAGTAGACTCTTGAAAGGCAGCTCTGGCGAGACCAGATGACTCTGATATGGTCCCTGTTCTCAAGGTGCTTACAGGCTAGAAAGATTTTCTCAGCATATCTATATGTATATATTTAAAAAGAATTATTTATTTAATTTCATTTATTTATTGTTATTATTCAGTTTGACAAGGGAGAGTGAGAAAGCAAGCCACCAGGTCCAGGGCTTGAACTGTGGTCAACCGTGCGGGAGTTCAGTGCCTTAACCACCATGTCACCTGCCAGCCTCCCTAGCAAATATTTAAGGATAGAGGAGAACAATGCAATTATGTACATGCAACAGACATTCTGTCTGAAGATTTTAGAAAAATATAAAGCCTTGAAGCATTGAGACACTGTGTCAAATACAATTTAGAAATTGTGACTTTGGTATGAAGCAAAGACTTCTTTTGGGAGATTAAAATTTAAAGAATAAAAGATTAGTTTTAAGATTGAAGCAATGGAGCTAGCAGGTGGTGTGGTGGTTTAAGGCGTTGGACTTCCACATGGCCAGCCGTGGTTTGAGTCCTGGACCTGGTAGCTTGCTTTCTCACTTTCTCTCTGTCTCTCTCTCACTCTGTCCCTCTCTGGTCAAATTAAAATAAATAATAAATAGATAGATAGATAAATATTTCATTAAAAAAAAAAGATTGAAGTAGTGATACAGCCATACTGCAAAAATTTTAGTTGGCATAGTGTATGAAGTAAAAAGTAAATGTTTTCTGCTTTCACTCTATTTTTGCTCTCCTCAGTTATTCTTGGGCATCTAAAACCTTTTTTTTTTTTTTTTTTTAATTTTTTTAATGCATCTGTTATAAGCTATTTTGCAACACACTTCTGGGATTACACTTTAAATATTGCTTTGCAAAATGCCCACAATGACTTATATTGCCAATATCTTTCCATGTCAGTGCATACCAATCTACCTAATTAAAAAAAAAAAGGTTTTTTGAGAGATTTTTGTTGTAGGGTGCATTCACTCACTGGAGAGAGACAGAAAGTGAGAAATCACCCCCTTGGGGGTTGGCCATGCCACAGTCCCTTCTCCATTCATTCCATTCTCCTCTGGGGATTTTAGGCATGCATGCACATGCGCCCATTGTGAGTTTCAGGTTGCCAGGTTCAGGACGCTAACCATTGTTGGCCACAGGGGAATCCAGAGCCTTAATCACTATACCACCTGTTGGCCCCCTACCTTTTGTTTTTTTTTTCCCGATACTGTGTGATTATACTCTTGTACAGGCATAACTTAATACCTGGGGATGCAGATCATCAGTGACAGTGGTTGAAACTGGAGCAGCAACTAAGGCACTCATGGTCCCTTGCCATTGGTTCTGGTTTGAGTTGTAGGAACAGTTTTTTTCTTGTTTTTCTGTGAAAGCAATTCAGGTCTCACTCTAGAAATGTTCCCAACTTCTTAAAGGGATTTGCATTTTCTGCTGTCCATAATAGAGGGCCTGATTCGATGCCCAGTCCACTCTTACAGGCTCTTATTGTCAGTCTTGGTAATGGAGTGTTCTGGCTTATCTGTCGCTTGAGAGACTTCTACCCTTATGTGCACACATTTCATTAAGGACATTCTATTAAAAATATATTTTAAAATATCAATGTAAAATACAAATTTTATTCTAACCACTAGGGTTCCTCAGGTGGGGTAAATACAAAACTAATTTTTCTTAAGCTTAGGAGTTTCGAGTATTCTTAAAATGTGCCCTGTTTTTTTTCTGTTTTGTTTTGTTTTTGCTATAGGGTGCGTGTGCATGTCAGAGAGAGAAACAGAAAGTGAGAAATCATCCCCCATTGGAGATGGCCATGCCATAATCCCTTCTCCTCCATTCTTCTCTTGGGATTTTGGGCATGCATGCACACAAGCCCAGTGTGAGTTTTAAGTTAGCAGGTTTTGGATTTGAACCACAGTCGACTCCATGGGAGCCCAGTGATATAACCATTGGGCCATCTACTGGTCTCTTATTTTATTTTGTAGAGATTTTTGCTATAGGGTACATGAATTTGCCAGAGAGACAGAGAGAGAAAGCAAGGAATTACCCTCTGGGGGGATGGCCACACCGCAATTTCCCCTCCTCCAGTCACCTCTTAGGGTTTTGGGCATGCATGCACACATGCCCGACATGAGTTTGAAGCTGCCAGGTCTGGGACTCAAATCATGGGTGACCTTGTGGAAGTTCAGTGACATAACCATTACACCATGTGCTGGTTGCTCCTTGTTTTTGTTTTTTAATACCCAACAAAGGGTCTCTCTTTGTTGTAATCTTCCTGCCTTAGCCTCCCCGACTAGCCAGGTCTACAGGTGCATATGTGCCTGACTTTCAGCATGGGCTGGGAATCAAACCTGGGTCTCCCATGTGCCCTAGCCTGCCAAGTAGTAGCATCTACCAGTGGGCACTACTGCGGCTGAGTGCCCCTGTTTTTATACTGTAATAATGGTAAATGGAATAGATAGGTTTTTTAAAAAAGATTTATTTAGCTATATTTATCATTATTATTATTATTTTGAATTTGATATAGGGCATGTGTGCTTGCCAGAGAGGGAGAGAGAGACAGTCAGAAGGCAGGCAACCAGATCCAGGACTCGAACCACGGTTGACCATGTGGGAGTCTAGTACCTTAACCACCATGCTACCTGCTGGCCCCTAGATAGGTATTTTTACATTAGAGTAGCCATTTCTCCCAAGCCAAAGAGAAAGTCTGGGGATAATCATGCATATTCCAACAGCATTTGATGATTCTGTCCTGCAGCTCGTAATTACCTCCAATAGAGTCATTATTAGTCTCTCTCTCAAGAGCTGTATTTCGTAGCGGGCCTTGGGCACCTTCTGATGTGAGAGCAGGCATGAGCCCTGAACGAGTTGGTGGGGCACGTGTGCAGGAAGACAGGGAGGGCTAACTGTCCGTCCAGCTTGCTGCTCGCCCTCTGTGAGGCAGAGTACCAGGAGGGATTGCCCAGAGCTGAGCCTGCTCTCAGAGGCGTGTGGAGGGTCAGTGTGAGCTGAGACTAGAGTGGCCTTGGGCACTCTGATGGAACTCTGCCCCCAGCAGTATCTGAGGGGCGAGTGTGGGCTTCCCGTCCTGAACTACGCCTGGAAGTGAGCGTCCCTGTAGCCGCAGTTGCAGACACCTAGTTTTCGTACACATTTCTTTTTTAAGCTGTGCACATTTTGTATCGTACGACTTCTGTTGAGAATGGGCTGGCCTGCCCAGTGTTTAACTGAGGGGTCCGTGACTGTGTATGAACACTGAACTATGAACTTTAACCTGCTGCTGCTCGGATTATCTTTGCCTGCTTGCCATGTTCCCCAGGGTAGCTCGTCAGTGGGGTTTCCTGTGTTCTCACTTCTTCTCTGCTTTGCTTTGAGTCTGGCTTCCTTCTGACCTGCCTGGCTTTTTACGTCCGGCCAAATTTATTTTCTATATAAAAATAAAGATGAAATGGACTAGCTACAAAAGGAAGGGGTGGAGGAATATCCTCATTCCCAGATCCATTGTTATGTCTGGAAGGTTAAAAAAGAAGAAGTTTCTGTACTGTAGAAAAGTGTAAAAGCATGGCTTGTAGTTTCAGCACGAGAAAAAACCTCTCCATTTTATAAAGCTGGGCTGTCCTCCCTCTCACTCCTGAGGAGCCTGTGTGGAGTACGTCCCTGTTGCTTCCCTAGAGCTACTGGAGACCTGGAGGAGGGGTGTTTGGGGAGCTTAAGTAGTTTGCATACATGTACGTGTGTGCATGTACATGTGTTCTTCCCACCTGCCCGCTCCCTTCACAACCTTCAGATGCAAAGACGTTTTCCACTGGAAGAATATACCTGAACTAGGTGTTCTGCTTGAAGGGATTCAACACTAGTTGGTAGATTCCAGTTATCTGAGGGCTTCTCAGAATCGGTTTTATCTAGTCTGAGGTCAGTCCTGCTGTGCCTGCTGTTTCCTCCCACCACAAACAGCCCACCGTGTCCCCCACCCAGAAGGAAACACATTTTGTGTGTAGTACGTAGTCCCTTGAATTCTCTCAAAAACATTCCGTTTTCTCTTTAACTTCCATTTAGTTTCACTTGCTCAATTTTTACAAGGCAGTCTGATTTCTTTTGGGCTGTGTGTAGGGGGCATAGACTAATTTCAGGGCACAGTGCGAACATAATATTTGTATGACTGTTTAATGGTTTTTTTTTTTTCCTTTTTTTTATTAGGCAAGAAAAAGTCATATTTCCCACGTTGTTCATGGGTAACTGAGTTTGTTTGCTGTGCGCATTTTCATTCTTTCTTAATTGTGGTGGGAGATGCATTAACAGACTGGTTTCACTAACTGCATGGGGCTGACTCAGCTTTAACCAACTCACAGCCCCCGAGCGAGCGTTCAAGATCCTGTTGGACTACACTGTACCATTTTTTAGTTCAGTTGTAGAGAACTAGACAAAGAAAACTCTAGCAGTAGCAGGTTAGTAGTTCAGTGTGGCAGTTGAGCTTCTGCTGACTTTTGGAGACTGTGCAGGACAGTGTCCCTGTCGCTGCGATCTGTGAGGCTGAGACGGGAGTTCAGATGCTGAAAGCTTAGACCTTTTTTTTTTTTTTTTTGGAGAGGTTTTCGCTATAGGGCGCGTGCGCTCACCAGACAGACAGAGAGAGACATAGAGACAGAAAGCGAGAAATCACCCCCCAGAGGGGATGGTTACGCCGCAATCCCTTGTCCTCCAACCTCCTCTCAGGATCTTGGGCACACACGCACATGTGCCCGGTGTGCGTTTTAAGCTACCGGGTCCAGGACGCGAACCGCAGTCGACTACGTGGGAGTCCAGTGACATAGCCATTACGCTAACTGCTGATTCCCAGAGCTTAGACCATTTCTGAGGTCTGCTTAGTTCTCTCGGAGGATTCTAGGAGGAGGAGGAGGAGGAGGTGGTGTTAGGGACTGTCTAGACAAATGACAGGAGGAGTTTATTACTTGAGGGCTACCACGGCAAGGAGGATGTGGCTTCTGGTCCCAGAAGATCCACAAACATGTAGCCTTTGGAAGGATGGCTTAAAGTTTTCAACTGGGAGGAAGCTCTAAAGTGAGACCTCCCTATTGCCAAAAGGAAAGGGAAAACCAAAGCTCTCCGTCATTGAAATGGGACAGTGAACAGCAGGGAGAAATGAGATTTGTCAAGGCCTCCTTCTTGCTGTTGCTCTTGGTCTGTATGTGTGCTTGATTGCAAACTCCAGTTTAGTTTCTTCATTCATGAACTTGGCTTCTGTGAAGAAGTCGGGAGTTGTCAAGTCTCTGCACGTCTGTTCCTCTATGATATTACACTCACCTCTTTGGTATATGAAATATACCATTTGTCCCTGCAGGGAACGTATCTACACTTTTTTGTTTTCCCTCTTTTCTTTTTTTTAAATAATTATTTTTATTTAACTTTTTATTTCTTTTGATCTGACCAGAGAGGGACAGGGTGAGAGAGAAAGTGAAAAAAGCAAGCTGCCAGGTCCAGGACTCTAACCGCAGTCGGCCACGTGGGAGCCCAGTGCCCTTAACCACCACGCCACCTGCCGGCCCCTTGTTTTTCTCTTTAAGAGAACCTGCTTTGCAAGTCTGTGTTTAGCTCCCTGTGCCCTCTGAGTAGTGGGGTCACAGGTGGGTAAATGTGGTACAGCCTCAGCAGTTGACTGTATTTCCCAAGTCCCTAGAGGGACACACGTTCCTTGAAAGTTTTTCAGGACAGAAAAGCTGCAGTGTTCTCGAGAGAGGTTCTAGGCTCGTGCTCCCTCGCTTTCCCCCTGCTCCTTCCTGCGGCTGTGCTGCCAGGTGGGTGGGGCTGGACGCTCCCCGTGATGCTGGGCCCTGGGTGCTGGGTCCTGGCTTCAGGTGCTAGTACAGGGCTGGGCCCCTGCTTGTGAGTATGCAGAGAAAAGCAACCTAGCTGGCTTTGCTTGCTAAACAATTTTTAAAAAGTTATTTTTCTCCCCTTTAATTTAATAAGCTGTCTATATACATTGTAGGATATTTGGAAAATAATAATGAAGTACAAAGTACAGTACTAAACAAGATTTTCCCAAAGCCCAGAGGGAAGAAAATTAACTATTGCTAAAGTTTTCTTCTGTGATATATGATTTATATGTGTGTGTGTTTATGTATAGCTGTGTGTGTGTGTATAAAACATGTATATATACAAAAATATATACGTATATATAGACAGGATACTTGGATAGCAATTCCTATCTAAGGGACCACAGTCTGGAATCTAAAACATACATTCTTTACTTTTTTCCTTCACATCATTAACATACATGGTTTAGTAAAATGCTTTTTCCATTTAGCATTCATGATTACATTCTAAATATTTCCGTATGCTATTAAAAAAACCCCTATGGAATATATTTTTAATGGCTGTAATAAATATTTAATTGTTTAGTTGTACTATTATTTACTTAACTATTGGGTCCATCAGTTAAGTCATGATGCGTTTTTTCATAGAAAAACACATCATGACTTTCTCGATGACCTAGTAGTGCTCTGTTGCCAGGTATTTAGACCCCTGCTCTATGGGGAAAAAGCCAGGCCTGGCTGCAGTGTCTGGTGTGAGGAAGTTCCCAGGAGGGCCACGTGGCTTCGTATCCTGGGCTCCTGAACTCTCAGTTCTCTGACCAGCTGATGCTTCGTAGACAGCCACTTCCCCGGGGGTCACCAGGACCCTACTGTGGGCCAGGAAGAGGAATAGGTTTAGGAAGCAGATGAGTTTCTTGCTGTGTGTAAGGTGATTTTAAACCAGTGTCTCCTCTTCCCTCTTTCCTCCTCTCTGGTCACCCCACAGGGCAGTAAACGGCTTTGACCCGGCTCCTGCTGCTCCTGGCCTGGGCTCCTCGCGCCCGTCGTCAGCACCGGGTATGCTGCCTCTCAGCGTGTGAGTGCCCGGCCTCCAGGTGGGGGCTCCCGCCCTCCTGCAACAACCCAGGACACCCACGCCTCACCCCTCGGTGCCTGGGCCCAGCCCCGTGCCCCTCCATCTGCCTCCCCTAGCTGGCAGAGGGCAGGCTGCATGCAGTGGCGGCTGCTGGGCCCCGTCTAGCCCCAGGACTCTGCGCGATATCAATACTGGCTATTTTCTCTTCTCGCCGTAGTGCCGTTGGTTTCACATGATTGCACTTTTGTGGGTCACAAGGTGATACATACGTGTATTACTTGGTCACTGGATGCGGAAGCACCCGTTCATCACACCTGCCTCATAGCCCCCACCCTGCTGTACCGGTAGGATTTAGTCGTGTTTAGGACATTGCAGATCTCCTAGAAATTCTCCCCCAAATCAGGTCCACGTGTGTCCCCTGAGCTCCCACCATGTTTCCAAGTGCTCATGATCATGTCTCCCCAGTTCCGCCCCGCACAGTTTGGGCCTGTTTGGCAAAGAGTCAGGAAGGTCACTGAATTAGGGAACATTTTCTGCACCTCCTGATTTTATCTAAGCAGTTACCATTCCCTAGACTTGCCTCCAAAGCAGCAAAATGCCTGTCTGGGCTCTTGGTGGCAGGAGCCTCCGGGGCCCGGGCACACACAGGGCTGAGCCTCTGTGCCGCCGCCTCCTCCATGTGCCTCAGACTTAGGCTGGAGGGTGGCAGCCATCTCGCCAGCTTTCTGGTCCTTCAGTTAAATGCCATCTTCAGAACGCTTTTGTTTTCTCTCCCGAGGGCCCGTCCACTTGTGTTCGGAAGGGTTGAGTGGCCTGATTCCGGGGCTGGCTGGTGCCCGCTCCTGGGAGCAGACTGACCAAAAGTGGTTGTCCCTGTGCATCCTTTGATTACTCTCATGCTGCATTTACTGTTTACATTTGTTTTATTGTACATAGGTTTGTAAACATTATTGCCTGAGATATTTGTATATACCTTGGGCTTTGTAGCTATTATTTATTCAGAACTCATATGGCATGTTAATGACTTACGATGGTGTCCTACTGTGGGCAGCTGTATAGGATCATCATGTGGTTAAAAAAATACTTCCCCTCAAAAACAATCTTTTAATGTGGAAACAATAAATTTCACAGAAAAAAAAAAAGGATTAAGGTTGCTTTCTTGGATTTCTGTGTCCAGTGAGAGAAGAGCTGGCATACAGAGCCAGGTTCGGAGTCCCTTCCTCTGTGACACGGGACATGTGGACGAACAGCAGCTGTGGAATGGGACAGAGGAGATTCTGGCGGCCTCAGAAGGGGCCTGTGCACTGAGCGGGCACTCTCCCGCCGAGTCGTGGTGCTGGTTTATCAGCTTTGGTCGTGACTTCCAGGAGCATCTGAGAATGGCCCAGGCCCCAAGTGAGCCCTGGAGGGAGGACCAGGAATCGCAGATGGAGCTAGTAGGTCCTGCAGTAGCTGAGAGAGGTCTGGGAGCCGGTCCCCCGCTCTGCTGTCTTCATGACAAACGGTATCTTTCCAGTCTCAGCGGTTACTTGGATTTGGGCTTCTCTCCTCATTTTTAAGTTGACTCTTGAAAATGTGCGAAGGTGCCAGACGTGTGGTAGCAAGACACAAGGAGACACGTTGAGTAACACGTAAATCGGCGGTCTCTGTGAATGAGTCGGATTCTAAGTACTCCGCGTATAATAGCCTACATGAGCAGTATACTCCAGAGTTTTAAAACACAAAAAAGAAAATGAAGTGAATGAGAATTCCTAAGTGAATAAAAAGATTAAGTAGGATACATGTTCAAATATTTTTCTGTCTCTTGGGAATAGCTGCTATTAGCTGTTCGGGAGAGCTCGTCCTAAGCTGCCTCACAGAGGCACTTGCCACGGTGTGTGTGTCGTGCCCAGCGGTGCTGGCAGACAGCTGAAAAGAACACACTGGGATCTCTCTCTTTTTTTTTTTTAAGAATTGTTTATTTCATTTTATTATTATTTTAATTTGATCAGAGAGAGGGGACGGAAAGTGAGAAAGCAAGCTGCTAGGTCCGGGGCTTGAACCGTAGTTGCCCATGTGGGACTCCAGTGCCTTGACCACCACACCACCTGCTGGCCCCCGCACTGTGATCTCTTTCTTACCGAACTATAGCAACTCACGTCTCTTTCCCAACCATCATTGGAAAGATTTGGCTTTGAGAAGACCTCTTTGTTTATGCAGAAACCCTAAATATAAAACTTAACAAAGCTACTCTGGGAAAAGCAAAGATAAAGTTTGGAGCCCCAAATCCTTGTACCTGGCTCCCCTATGATCTTGGACTTATTTTATGGCTGGACACCCCTCCATGTGTCTCATCCAGACTGTTCTATCAGTTGCTGGCTAGTCGTCTGATGGCCTTAAGTCCCAGTGTCATTCAGCAATGTCACCAGTGCTCTGGGTTTGGGAGAGGCGGGCTAGGCCCCAAGAGGGCAGCCTGTGCTGTTGGGCCAATTTTCAATCCCTTTGGGAGGAGACTCCCCCCCCCACCTCTTATTTTTGGTTTTGATGGCAGTAGCAGCCCTTGGTATATGACACCCCAGGAGGAAACTGGATGACTCCCCAGGTCTCATTTCTGTTGGAATAGCTTCATGCTGCTGTGTACTTGCTCAGCCCTTTTACAGGTTTTGCTATGGATGGCCTCGGAGTAGCCTCTTCCCAGAGCTGCCCTCTGCCTGGTGCTGCCCGGCTCTCCCTGAGTCCTCAGGAATAAGCTCTCCCCAAGCTGGGTCTGTGTGACCTTTAGTGCTGGAGGTGACTGATCTTCTCTTCCAGGTGTTAAAGGATGCCTCTTGCCTCCAGATGTTTTCATCTCATCCACCTAGTCCCATTCCTTGCTCCCAAACATTGTCCTGGGTGAGAGCGGGAGCCAGCGCCCCACTTCCCTTCAGCTCAGAGCTGAGAAACCACACACCACTGACATGATTAGGAGCCCAGCGTCCAGGCTGGGATCTGGAGTCACATGAGAGGCAGGTGAGAATGATACAAAAGTTAACCGAGAACAGGATAAGCGGCTTCAGTTTACAGAAGGGTCAGTAGGCCCAGAGTTTGGCGTGCTGGAGCTCAACGCAGCTGGCGGACAGCACAGCCAAGACTGGAAATAAGCCCTGTGACTTTATTTTTTAAAATTTGCTATGGAGGACCAGGAGGTGGCGTGGTGGTTAAGGCGCTGCACGCCCACATGGCTGACCGTGGTTCAAGTCCTGGATTTGGTGGTTTGCTTTCTTTGCTTTCCTTTTCTCTCTCACTGGTCAAATTTAAAAAGTAATATTAATAACAAATGGATATAAATGAGTAATTTTTCAGGAAGTGCAGGGGGATGGGGTGGAGGTGACGCGAATTTGTCCGCGTTGGAGGGGCCCGTCTGCTGCTATAGTGGCCGCGGCCGCCCGCTGAG